CCAGCTCTGGGGGGGGTCCTCTGGGGCTCTAGGATGTGTCCTCAGTACTTTCCTCTGAGCTCTGGGGGGTCCTCTGGGGCTTTGGAGCACCCACCGGGACTTCTGGGGGGGGTCTCCGGGGGCTTTGGAGCATCCCCCGGGACTTTTAGGGGGGTCCCCTGCTGTGTCCCCCCCCCAACCAGCTCCAGGAGACCCCCCCACTGGCTCTGGGACACGTCCCCATCCCCACCTTTGGGTCCATCATCCTCCTTGGTCACCTTGGGCTTCCCCACCTCTTCCTCCAGCGAGCTGCTGTGGGGCAGAGCAGGGATGTGTTGGGGTTGGGGGGGGACACATATGACCCCCCCCTCCAGCCCCCTGTACCCCTCCAAAACCCCCCAAAAACCTACCTGGAGGCGTCAGACATGTAATCCACCTCCTGCCCCTCAAAATCCCCGTCGTCACTGTCCTCGAAGGCTTCATCCTCAGAGCCCTTCTTCTTCCTCTTCTTCTTCCCCGCCGGCGCCGCCTTTTTGGGCTTCGGCGCCTTTTCCCCTGGATTTGGGGGGGATTTTTTTGGGGGGAGGAGGGGGTGATTCCCAGCACCCCCACGACCCCTCGAGCCCCTTCCTCTTCTCCCTCCCCAGCTCACCTTCGGCCTCGCTGCCCTCGCTCTCCTCGGAGCTGAGCTCCAGGTCGTCCTCCAGGTCGTGGATTTTCAGCTCCCCGCCTTTTTTCTTGGCTGCCTTCTTCTCCTTCTCCTCCTCTTCCTCGTCCTGGTCCCGCAGCCGACGCTGCTGCATGATGCTGAAGTGGTTCAGCACCTTGTTCCTCCTGGGGGAGGTTGGGGGACACAGTGTCACCCCCCCTGTTCCGGGTCTCGGGGTGCCAGAGGGGGGATCTCGCCTCTGGGATGTGTCCCCAGAACCTTCCCCCTACATCTGGGGGGGTCTCCTGGGGCTCTGGGGGGTCCCCTGGGGCTCTGGGACATGTCCCCAGCACCTTCCCCTACATCTGGGGGGGTCTCCTAGGACTTTGGGGTGTCCCCTGGGGTTCTGGGGTGTCCCCTGAGGCTCTGGGGTGTCCCCTGAGGCTCTGGGACATGTCCCCAGCACCTTCCCTTGAGATCTGGGGGGTCCCCTGGGAC